TAGTTTAACATCAAATAAAAAGATGAAGGACAGAAAGTGAACAAATATAAACAATGAGAATGAAAGATGGGAAATAAGTTATTAGAACAGCATGTGTTCAGAGGTCACATACAAACGGGAGGCTAATGGTAAAGAAAGAGTCGAAACATGTGTCTTTAGGACAAAAATAGTGGAATTTGGCGTCCAGGGCGCTGGTTAAAATTAACAAGCAAAGCTTTATTCTCCTTTTTATATGACAGAACAAAAGCAAGCAGGGATGGGAATGAGGAAATCGGGGAAAATATGAAGCCAAAAATCCCATGCTCTAAGCAAATCTTATTTTCTGCTAATTATTATTTATTTTACCGAGGCCTGGGCTTTATCATCCTTGGAGCACTTTAAGAATAATCCTTTGTAATTTTAGCTTTTTCTGTCTTTCTTCAGGGTTAAATTGGATTTCTGTCATTATTGTTGTTCAAACGTTCAAAGAGCTCCAACTTGTTTAATCACAGGACATAATTACATAGAACTTCTGTAAGCATTGGCACAAGAGTCAGACATTATCACCAAATAAAGTGTGATAAGAGAACGGAAAGCTATGTCATGAAAAAAATATCTTGTGGGATTAGCTAATTTAAATGGCAGTCAGAAATAATAGTGTAATTATGTTTTTGAATAAACACATTTCCATTAAACCACAGTTCTCTAACAATGTAACACTGAGTTCTAATTTAATTGTGCTCCACTCTGCTCTGCGCTGCTAGATTTTGCTACTGAAGTTGGAATGCTAATGTTAGCATACCCCCACAATGTTAGCTTAACATTTTGACACTGAAAGTACTCTTCAGTTTTTATGGTTGTAAATTGTATTAACACAGAAAATGCTCAGTTCTTCTGTATCATTTCAGTGGAAGTGATTGTCCGATGTCACGACATGCTTGTGAATGTCAGTGACTCAATCCACTCTGCTGGGATTCCTTGGATAGAAACATTTCGAACTAATTTGGATAGTGAACTGAACTTAATGCACTGTCTGACAACTAAGACCAAATGGAATGTATGTGTGGTTGAATTTAAATGACTTTTTTTTTTTGTAAAGTGCCTCAAGATGACATTTGTTGAGAATTGCCGCTTCATAAATAAACTGAAGGGAATTGAATCATTTTGACTAAATTAAGAAAACACACCGGTGACTTTTGAGCGGAGTGCTTTTGAAAGTGCTGCTTGAAGTCACTCTTCTTCTGCTCTCAGCAGAGAAAAAAAGCGCAGTGTGTTGCTTTGCATCAAAGGGCTTCACAGGCACACACTGCAAAAAAGACCCCTTTCAAAAACAAGAAAAAATGTACAAATATAGGGTATCATTTTCTTAAAATAAGAAAAATTTACCTTAACACTAATCCCACGAAATGACAGAACGACGAAGACCTTAACAGATCTGCCGCACTCATAAGATGCCGTAAGAGTCAAGCAAACCAAATTGTCCAATGCAAAAGAAATCTTGGGATTAGACGTCAACAGTATTAATATAGGAGCTTACTCTGCAAAGAACTTCTTCCAGTAAGCCAGAGGCTTTTATATGTGGAAGTTTTGTCTCAGTTATGGACATCTGTCATCAGCACAGAAAGGAGTGGCCACACACACATGCTGAAAGGTGTAGCGGGGTCAGTCCTCCTTTCAGAAGATCAGGACAGGCATGGTTCCAATGGCTGGTAGGGAGTTGGTTTCACAATCACCACAGAACTGAAAAGTGGTCTTGTTTGACTTAAGTTATTGGATCATCTGCTAATTGGAACACAAACAGAAAAAACAATCACAAAACAAACCACGTTTTAGGAACTGTCATCAGTGTAATGATGAATAGGTATCATAAATGTCTTACCTCAAGAATGTGAAGGACAGCGTCACTCACAACCCCCAAAGTTTCTTGTAGATGGTGCAATACGTGATGAAGACATGTCTGGCCATGGCAATGGCATGGAAGATTAAATTAAGGAAGGTCCATAGCAGATGAAAACATGCCAGGAATTATCTGGACACAAACTAGTATTGTCTCTGCAATTGTTACAAGTGCTTGTCAACTATTTAAATATCAACTTAGAATTCCCAGTACACTCTGCCAACTGTGCAAGTGTATAAGTTCATGTTGTTGTTTTTTTTTTTTTTTGTTGCTTTTTTTATCTTCTCACTGACAATTACACAAGGACTTCCATTTTGATAAAGTCTGTTTTAATTATGAGAAGAGATTTTGTTAAGTAAGTGATTTCTTTTTTTGTGCTTGAAATAAGAAAGGTTTACTTGGGCAAAATAAGTTCTAGATTTGAAGTTTGCTTTGTAAATATTGATATTCTAGTTTCTAGTATATATTTACTCATAATATATAAGAAAGTAACATTTTCTTAGTATCAAGCTTTTATATCTTACTGAGATAATTAAGTACAAAAACACTTAAAATAAGAAAAATATTCTAACACAAAAACCTCTTGGTGAGAAAGAATAAAACAAGGATAAATCTCCTTAATTTCAGATATTTAATGTTACTAAAAGTTCACTTTTTGCAGTGCAATTTCCTACTTTGTTAAGGAATGCAGCTCCTGGCTGTTCAATCACCCAATCCTTACCTACATGCATCACTGTCTGCTAATAAAAACTTAACATTTAAGACCAGAATATTATAAAAATAATATTGTAATATTATTACAATGTAATAATATTTTCCAAGAAATGTGGACTTGTTGGAAATTGTTTGTGCAGCTTAAAGGTTGTTAATCTGACAAACAAGCCTAACAACCACATATCAGTTGAAAATAAGTGGGTATATAGTCCAATCATGAGGTTTTGGAGTGTTTTTTGGCGGTCAGAAGCTCACAATCAGCTCACACCAAGAAATCTAATTATTTATTGCTTATTAGAAATCATAAGATTTCTAGTCAATTCAAAGTCTTTTCAGAAAAGACTTTGAATACTTTACATTTCTACTGAATGGACTTAAAGCAGAGAAAATCAGTTATATCCACCTGCAAGTAGGCTATTTGAATATGACTTCATAAAATGATTATTGTTCACATGCTTAGATATGCAAAATCAATTGCCTGAATAAAAGAAAAATAGCATAGTATTGCGTTGAATATAATGTCTTTATATTGTGCAGTGCAAACATCAATCAGAAGCTCGCATGATCGTAAACGATGACTAACAAATACACACGGGAATAAAAAAAAAAAAAAAAGATCAAAGTAAGTTATTTTCCCCTTACGTGTTTCTTAATAATGTAATTTATTTACATTCCAAGCAGCGTGTTCCTTCGATGTAAACAAAAACATAAATAATGCATCATGGCTTTGGTTCTACTATGCAGTTTTTATTCACCTTTCTACGTGTGATTGATTCCGGTCGAGGCTTCCGAGGCGGCGCACCGCAGGCGGGTTGGATGAGGGGCTGTTAGCGAGCACTGAGCAGAAGGAGCCGCAAAAAAAAAAAAAAAAAAAAAAAAAAAAGGAAAAAAAAAAGAGCGCAGGGCTCCCGGTCCGCTTTGCCGGACCTTCGGATGCGGCAGGAAAGCGGCTGAGAGCGGAACCGGACTCTGAGGTCGGGAAACGAACCGCAGCGTCACCTTCCCACGGTGCGAAAGCGTTGACCAGAGTTGGTCTCACCTGGACGCAGGACGATGAGAGTAAAACGATGGTTTGTGGGGGGATTTTTTTTTTTTTTTTTTTTTTTGGCGTGGCTGATTTTCCTATCTTGCTCAAAAGCAGCATCGCTCGTTTCCGCCTGACCAGAAAACACTATGGAACCGAAGCGCCTCCGAGTTTTAAGTGGCTGAATTGTAAGGTCGATATGGCTCAACAGCAGTAGGCCTATAATTTACATTTTAACGTTGCACTTGGTTGACATATCTAAAAAGGATATGTCAACCAAATTAGTTTATCTCGAAAAACTCACGTGTAAATTTGCAAAACCTAAGAGAGGGGATTCCCACACCTTATTTCCCCACATGAGACATAATGAGTGAAATATCAACCATAATTCATTTCACAAATTCATTCAAGGAGTGAATTTTGATTCACTCCTTCAATGAATTGATCCACAATCAACTTTTTGTGTTGATTATGAAATATAGTTAATTAAATTTATGTTTTTCTAGAGTTATGTGTGATTAAAATAATACCTGGGCAGCATTACATCGACACTCTTCTATTCCTAAAGTAGCTGACAGATTGTTGTTGGAATGTTGAGTGGAAGGAAAAAAAATGATTTAAACGGGTAATGAACATTTGATAATCCTGCCATGGTATTTTCAACCTAATCGCCAACTGAACACCATGACAAGTCCGGTAGTTCAACAGACCACAAACTCATTTAAAAGTTTTTATTTGAAATGATTTTAAATACAAATAATATATATATATATATATTTTTCCCATTTACAATGAGTTTCTTTGTAAACAAAAGTGGCAGATCAATAGTCATTTGGGTAGTCGCTTGTCCAAACTGAGGCGGCCTGTGGGTCAGTCACCTGGATGCGGTTGGTTGTGGGAGGGACGGTGGAGCCTCATTGCAGCGTTTCCTTTAAATTTCCTCCCACGCAGCACAATTCACCGATGCTACATTCTGTTGCAGAGGGAAGAGTAACTTTTGGTTTACACCTGCTCTGACCTGTAACAAAATGGGGGAATTGTCTAAGCGCCTGTGCTCTAGTGACGGAGCATGGCCTTGAATATTTCAGAAATTCAGATCTCTCACGCTTAACATGACAAAACCAAAATGCACTCTGGAAAAGATCAAATAAACAAACAAATGTTCAGATTTTCTTAGTGAAATACTGCAAGAACTAAAACTGCAGAGTTACAGAGAACTGCATTAAGAAGCTTCGATTTTCTTAAAACATCTACAAATAAAGATGAAAACAACAAGTCTGAATACATGCTGTAGCTCAACTGCGACAAAAGAATAAAAAAGAAAACTAAATGAAAGACAGCTCCATTTGCTTTGCAATCCTCAGGTCTAAAAACAAGAGTCAAAAGTAAGTGGGTTCTGCTTTATGGTAAGAAAAACACTATTAAGTATGAAAGTAAAATTCCAACAACCATTTGTTCAGTTGTGTGTGTGGTAGAAACATCACATTCAAACCTCTAAATATTTCACACACAAAAAAAGGAAAATAACCAACTCCTCATGACAAGGTGAGTGATGTGTAGCCCCAACAACGTGGAGCTGTATTTTACTCCAAATAAACAATTCAGATGTTTGGTTTTTTACAGGGAAAATAAATCCGATCTGCTCGTGGGAACCACCAGAGGATGCAGACGCTGTGATTCAGCAGATGTATTCATAAGGCCCATATAGGACAATGACTTACACTGGAATGTGCTACAACTGGAAAGAAAACAAGAGGAAATCGAAGTAATGCATGACTCCAAAAGGCCAGGAGTAAAGATCACTATCTTAGTCAATTCAAATGGCTGAAACGGTAATTTTTTTTTTAATGCACCGATCACGGTTTTTATGGTTCATACGAATAAGAAAAAAAAAAGGTATATTGATAGAGGTAGTAGTTTCGAAGCATACAGACAAAAGAATTCCAAGATTATCTCCATTTTTGCAAACCATTTCACTCTAAACTTTCAGATTTTATTGCAGTCAAACAAAAAGTGCAGCATGAGTGTGAAATCTTTGTTTTGATGCACTTAATAAAAGGGAGAGAGTTTTTCAGCATATGACCTGCTGAACCTTGACTGCTTGACTGAGGCATTTCTACTTCCTCACGTAACAAATGGAGAAGAATATAGCGCTCTTTAACACTGCAAGTTATTTCATTTGACTCATTTAGAACCAACATACAAATTAATAAAAATAAAAAGTACAAATGAAATACAGTTGTGATGCTGGAAAAGGAAAACAGCAAAAATATAAACTTGTGGAACCCTGCACTCAAAAGAGAAGATGCTTCTTTAATATACGCCTCTGCAGATGAAGAGTACAACAGAAAGTTTCATAAGTGTGGAAAATATCGGCGCAGGAGAATTTTAAAACCAAGAGAGAGCGCGAGAGAGAGGGGACAATGTCCCTACAGAGTTTGTTTGTTTCTGTTAGTTTTGCAAATGGAAGCAGCTGTTATTTATCCGCCTCGAGGAAAAGAACCCATTTAATAATAATAGGTCCTTTAGTCCAAAGCTATTTTTTTTCTTGTCTCTCATACCTATACAAATACATACACTTTACACAGCACACACACTCACTTACTCACGCACTCAGGCCTGTTAGTATTCACAGAAATGTCCGCCTGCAGCAGACGATGAAACACAAAGTCTCTATAGAAAGGGGGGAGATGGGAGCAGGCCCCCAGGGGTCACAGTTTATGACATTGTAAAAGTAAAATGGTGGCGGGTTCTGAGTGTAGAAATTCTCCTCAGTGATTTATTCATTCATGTGTTTTTGTTTATGGCAGGCACGGCTTCTCCTCGTCGCTAGTGGATGAGCGGTCGCTCCGGGGGGCGTTCACGTCCGCCCCCGACTCGCTCACGTCCGCCCCCGACTCGCTCACGTCCGCTCCGTCAGTCGTTGTCCTCGTCTTCGTCGTCGCTCTCCTCGATGCCGTCGCTGTCCTCCTGCTCCTCGTCCTCCTCCTCCGTGTCGGGGATGTCCCACTGTGGGTGGTTGTCCAGCATGGCCTTGGCCTCGTGGACCTCCAGCTAAAGAAAACACACACAGAAAAAAGACAACTTTTAAACTAAAATTAAATAAAAATATTATACTTAATTTAAACAAAATCCAGTAGCAAATACCACCATCTTTTTTTTTATTGCAAAGAATTGAATTAGTTTTTAATATATTTTCAAATTTTTGACAATATTCAATACCAGAAAAATGCTGTAATTCTTGCCCATTTTAAAATGACAAAGAAACTGAAAATATAATGTAGATTTGCTGTAAAATACAGCGAGAATATTAAAAACACACTATGAACATATGAATAAACATCTCATCACCTTAAGTGGTTTGAACTGATCCAGACCCAGGTAGGAATCAGAACGGAGGATGACTGAGTACTGGTAGTTGCCTGCTTTGGATGGGGCTGGAAATTTTAGTTCCACCTGAAAAACAAAAATAAAAGAAGAAACAAAGGTTGAGCCACATTTAATTGAACTGAATACTGGTCAATTTTCAAATAACTATTGCTCGTCCAAAGTGGAGATACGAGTCTAAAGACACTTTAGAGAAGAACCGTGTCAAATTTGGTCCAGGACACTCCCCTCACCTCTTTACTGGGTTCTTCCTCTCCATTCTTTGTTGATAAACTTGTAGTTAATCCAGTGATCTGTCACCAGTACCAGATTAACTAGGCTAGGCTAATCTGCACTACTTGGTGTAAGATCAGGTCAGCAACAACGTCAGTGTTTGACAGTTTTCTATTTAAAGTTTCATATTATCCAGCTACTTCTTCTAAACCTTTCCATTAATAAAAAAGACAGAGGACTTGTAACCCACATCTTGTTGACATCTGTACTTAAGAGTCAGTCTATTTCCAGCCGAGTTCCTATCTTGTCGTCTTTTCAAAACAATCCACCTAAAGTGTTTGTTTACAACTGGACGCGCTCCTCTTGTCAACTCGGAAAGAAAAATATTGCTTTAGGATTGCACAAGGCTGCAACAAACCAAATCTGAACAGTTTTTCAATTAAGCTTTCATAAAACCATTTAGAGAGAAAGATGGCTCCGTTGTAAAAGCTCGCCCTTACAAATGGTCTTCTCAGAGGAGCGGGCAGCGGCGTGTATTACCAGAAATTAACCAACTCATGATGATGACAGGGCTTGACTATAAATATTACCTATTCTACATCAGGCTGTGATTAGCAACTTGTGCAAATACATACAGTAAACATCTAATTATCAGCACGATGAAGCTTTTTATTATTCATCGTAAGTGAGTTGAACATGGCTGCTGTAAACAGCCCCGTCTGCTTGGGGGGGAAGCAACCAGTCTGGGCTGCCGGAAACACATCTGCCACATATGCAGAGCCTTAAATCCCACAATGCAAGCATAGGAGAAACTATCGAGGAGACAGACTAATTGATTGGTACCCAGCGACCCATCATGCACGAAAGGGGCAGCTCCCGTAGCGACAGCTGGCTGCGCAACGTTACACGAAGCCCTCATTAAGCTTTTACTTTCCTGTCAATCTGGGCTGTTGTTGGAGAAAACTGTTCTGGATAAACATGCACAAACTCCTCGGAGGGAGCAATGCTGAATGCAAAGGCCGGCCTTGTAACACGATGTGAGGAAATGTTGATTGGGTGCGTTGTAACAGAAACTACAGACGCATCAATCAAAAGTTTGAGCAAATTAAGAAGAGAAAAAATTATTGCGACAAAGCAATTATTGAAATAATTTGCAGCAATTTTGGAATCAAAAGAGGCCATTTGCAAAGAGAGGTGTACAAAAAGAACATACAATTTGAATTTAAGATAAAAAAAATAAATAAAACTTTGTAAATATGTTCTACCCCAAACTCCTTTTGAGGTAGATCTTCATTTGGTTCAAATTTTGTCAAAAAGAAATAAAGTCTTATTAGGCTCCTTTTGCTACCCAATTATTAATTGGTTAATTAAAAAACAACAAACAGGTTAGCCAACACTGTATTGATGTTAACTCAAGCAGAAAAATCTGAGCTTTTCCTCCAACTTTATTTGAAAACACAGCACTAATACTGAAAATAGTAGTGAGAGGAAAATGCGCTGACTTTCCTCAACACCTTTTCAGAAGCACAGTCTCACCTCCTCTGAGTCTTTTAGAGTGCAGACGTGGTAGGGCATGGAGACGAGCGTCTGATCTCTGCGGTCGGCGATGTACAGCCACCACCACTCCTGCTTCTCCTCTGGGAAGTACAGGCTGTAGACGGGGTGCGTCACCTTCGACTTCGTTTCCAGTAGCGCCCGCTCTCGCCGCTGGATGCTCTGCTGCAGCGCCTCCCACTCCTGAAAGGTTGGATGAAACAACATTTAGTTGAAGGCAAGCTCACGTTCCTTTACTTAGTGTCTATAAAAGCTTCACACTGACCTCCTCGTCGTCTCCACCGCCCTCGTCGACTTCGGTGTCGCTTTGTTTGTCGCTCTCTTCATCTCTTTCGCTGGGAGAATCCTTGTTGGTTTCGCCGTCGTCCGACTCGCTGCCTTTATCTGACGCTTCGTCGTCGTCTTCCTTCGCTGCGGATGCTGCAGCTGATGTTGTAACTGCCATTTCCTGAGACATTGTAAACATTCCAATAAACTGAAACAAGGCGATCGTCATTGTTACAAAGAGTCGCATTCAGCAAAGATTTTAGGATGCTTACATTTCCAGCCACGTTGCCATTAGCCTGCTTGCCTTTAACAGGAGCAGGCAACACTTTCTTCTTGGGTAATTTCTTCTTCTTGGACTTGGCTGTCTTCTTGGCCCCTTTGTTCTTGCTTTGCCAAACTTTAGCTTTGGCTTTATTCGCGTCTCCCTGATTCTGAATTTAAGACGAGATTAAAAGTTGTCATTTATTTATGCTGGGATTTTAACAAACGCTGACGTTTTCCGTCTGCAGATCAAAGATGGCGGGTTACCCTTACTACTTCCTCTGTATTGGTTGTCTCCTCTCCCTGACATATTGATGCTTCCTGCTCCTTCTCAAACATGTCCTGCAAACAATGAACAGTAGGACAGCGTGACACTTTTAAAGCCTTGAAGTTAGCAAACTGCGCCCTCTTCTGGTGACAAACCACAAAAAACACGTTTTTCTATAAAGTCTTAGCATTCCACCAAATGAAATACTTACTGCCATACGTTTCCTGGTTAGGGTGACTGTTACTGTGACGATTGAGCCTGCGGTGATGTTACTGCTGTCCTCATCATCAAGGACTAGCAAACATAAAGAAAAAGGAGAATAGCAGCTAAACTTAACCGATCCACACTTAAAATGTCACATTTTCCACCAGAAGCACTTGAAGACAAGTTCCCAAGAGTAAATGTAGATGAAGTTGTCTGGACAAACCCTGTAGCTTGATGCCCATGGTGATATGAGGGAAGCTGCCCAAAACAGCCATGACCTCGTCGTACTTCTCCTCCCCAAGGAAACGCAACATGCTGCGTCTGTCCGAGTCCTTCAGACTCACCAGGTCCTGCAGCGTCCTCACCTTATACTGCACAGAGGACAGGAAGACAACAATTCCTCAGGGTTTCATACTAAATAAACAACTCAAATGCACTAAATTAGTAAACTACAAAATAATCCATAAACACATGTTACTTTGATGCTAACTTTTTTGTTCTTGTTGAAGTATAATATTTACTGGTAATCATTTTGGTTTTGTGCTTCAAGATTAAAAATAACTTTTGGTCTACCGTCATCATAAATAATCTAAAAAAAGAAAAATAATAAAACAACCCATCACTCAGATTTTAGCAACTTTTCCTTTCCTGTGTTAGGGCCTACCTTCTTAGAAATGCAGTAGCGTAGGTGCTCCTCTTCGAAATGAGGCAGCTGCAGCAACGGTGACTTGGTCTCCTGCAGGCCCTGCACGATCATTTGGGTCAGCTTCATACAATTCTCAATGGTCACCAGTCTGGGAGCGGGGAAACCTAGAGACAAATAAGCAAGTGTGCGCAGATTATTTCTAGCATCAAGGAAATGGAGGCATTGTGATGCTTAGTAGGAGTTGCGACCATCGCTATGTGTACCTCCTCTGCTGTTAGCCATCATGGTGAGCTGACAGCCAACGTTGATCATCTCCTGAAGAAGAGCAGGACTCTTCCTCACCACAAATCTTTGATCTGGTGAAGAAATACAGAGAACACATTTAATCTGTCTAAGTGTTTACTACTTTTACAATAAATCACATGTGAACAGGTTATTTGGATTTTTAATGACTTTTCCTTCCATAGAATTTCCTCTAGTTTATCAAACGCTCAGCAGCTTGTGGGGCTGTTTTAGTTCCTGGAACCCTCAAGATGTCATTCTCAAAGACCTCTGCTACTCCAGAGACTTTTATAAATGTATGCTTGCTATTACCAAAATTATATTTTCAAAACTACACCACCACAAAAAGGGCTGCAAATAAGAAGCTTCACAAGTGTTTGAATCTAAAGGAACAATGGACGAACAGAAGATTTAAAATGTAATTCAACTGATCAGTCCTACCTTCTTCTAAGTCCTCTGACACCTCCATGCGGGCCAGATGTGAGAGCACCAACACCCTGGCCTTGAAGCTGTACGGATAACAGAATGGAGGCTCTTTCTTCTTCACGTTGATATTTCCCAATTCACGGATCAACTGCAACAAATGCACAGGCAAAAAATACTGAATCCTTGGTAAATTCTTTGAGATAAATGATAAATTGTAGAGATTTGCTTAGCCAACATGTGGTAAAAGATTCTGAGGGGCGTTTGCTTCCCACTATACATAAATATTTAGGTATTTTCTCAATTCTTAACCCCTTAATTGATGATTTTAGTGATTAAAGTCTGTCTCTTTTTCACAACAAGCAAACATGATGTTTATTGCCTGGATTCAGGAAGAACAAAAATTCAGAATTTTAAAATGTATTCTTTATGGATTCCCGTAGAACTACTGGATCAATACACATTTTCCAATATTACTTTTTAAAGAATCACATCAAAAACTTCAAACCTCATCATAAACAAAAATCCACAAATTTTTCTAGTTTCTAACCCTTAAAATGCCAGTGTGAAGTTTTTTTTGGCAGTATTCTTTTAGATTATCCAACAATAAATTATGTTGTATTTATAATAAGATGCTTTTTTTTTCTTCCTTCCATATGCAAATTAGTAATTTGGCAGTTCATTGCAAGAACATGGGGAGGAAGGGGTATATTTAAATGGGAACCAGCAGCACATAAAAAGATGAAGGGACACAGGTTGCTCCATGTATTTTAATAGGCATGAGGAACTGCCAAAACAAGTAAAAGTTTATTTCTTCTCCACACAGCTAAAACAAAAATAACATTAAAGTTCTGCCCAGACACCAAAAACTTTTCCTGAGTCTTTGAAACTCCAGACAAGATGCGTTTCTACCTGCGGCACTTCGACATTGTCTGTGGGTCTGATGGTCGCCTCTTTATTGCTGCGAGGGTCAAATTCACAGGCTGCAGTGAGGACCATGGTTAATCCTGTATGACACAAAATGCGTGACACCTGAAGTTAAACGTTAAAAGATCTACCAACAAAGTACCAGAGCCTCCAAATAAAAAAAATAAAAATCTAAAAAATTAAATAAATAAACTATGCATGTGAAAATACTTTCAGTCTTGATTAAACTCACGTTTCATGTTCATGTTTGGTGTTTTGTAAATAAAATGCATAAAAGTTGTGTGGTGCTGATGAGGATCTGGTCTCCGCTGTATCGGATTGAGCGGTACCACCAGGTGCCCTAAAGCAAGCAGGCAAAAATGAACCACCATACATTAGAAGAACATTATAGTTGGTACAAAACCTGACTTAAGAAGAATTGTGCCTAAAGCTTACCACAACTACAGGAAGGATGACCATGAAGGCAAGGCCATAGACCAACAACACCTAGATAAAAAGAAGTCTCTCTGTTAGTGTAGGTCATTGTTTGACATTCAGATGAATGGAATGAAAACAAAAACATTATTTCTAGCTATAAAATTTATACCAGCATGGAATTCTTCTGGTCCACAATCCAGGCTGGCAAGGCGATACCAAAGCTGGTGACTGGAAGAGGAGAAAGAAAATGGACCAAAGCAGAAAAAAGTTTTTGTTTGTTTTTTACACCTCCTGTTATTTTCAAAAACACTCTATGAAGTTAAAGCTGAAGTCTGTCTGGTACATTTTTCATGCAATCATTGTTAATGGAAAAACATAATCCATTTGTTAATGTGCAAATTTTGGGCAGTCAGCCATTCCCATTAACTTTATTCTAGCTTAATTTCATCAAATTGTGAAAATTATGCTACTATCCAAGTGAATTAATAATGCATTGAAACCATAATGCATATAGTTAAATAAATACTTGTTAAGTTGCATTGAAATGTTAGTCTATCATTTGAGGATTTCACTAATGACCAAATTATGGCCAATGTTCATTTATTTACAGTTCAACCTCATATGTAATATTATGCAATTATTATTAAAAGCTATTCTAGTACAATGCCTAATGCCAAGAGCTGCCCCTTATTTTCATGCTGGAGGAGGCAGTTAATCCATATATTTTCAGTTTTAAAAGCTTGGTATTTTCACTGTACATTTTGTGGTATGGCATAAAATAAAAAGGGTTTGTTAGAAATAAATAAAACAACTTCTGGAGGAAATGCACCAACCAGGAGTTTTCTAAAGTAGTGGGTATCGGCAGAGCAACGCAAAGGTTGGGGTCGACACAGGTAGCTTTAACTTACCTCCTGGACCATCTGGGTTACCGTACAGTTCCCAGTTCTGTCGCGACTGTTCATTGGTTAAACTGCAGAAACAAACAAAAGACAGAATATGTTCACCAAATACAAAACACTGACAATGTTGATTTGACTAAATCATTAAGTAATTGAATAAATTTTTAAAAACCCACTTACGCAGCATAGGCTTTGGCAATTCTCATAAACATGACGTCATCACCACCTTTGTCAGGGTGGTACTTGAGCGACAGTAGATGATACTGTTTTTTAATTGCTTGCACCTTCGCGCCCTGGAGTCAAGAACACAATCACACGAACGAGTTCACATCGAGATGTTCACTTCTCAAGACAAACCTAGGTTTGATTTTCTGGATGCTGCATAACTCTCTAATCATTAAAGTGATCTGGAAAAAGAAACTAATTTACCGGTTCCAAGTTGAGGACTTCATATGGGTTGTACTCCTGGTAATCCCTGTCCAGCTTGGACACCTTGTAGGCTAGAAGTAGGAATACAGCCCACCCAAAAAGCAAGGCCACTTTTCTGGAAAAAAAAAAAGAAGAAAGAATTAAACACAAATCACTCATGAAAGCTTTGTTTATTCCAAGAAAGAATAAGCATGGTTCTCTTTTTTCATAGAGGGATGGAAACTAGAGTGGTGAAGAAAAGGTAGTAACAATTTTAACGGGATTAGGTGAGAATTTTTCAATCTTAAGTTTTAGTCAAGCTGTACGACATTTTATTTGTTACTCAATTGTTCACCCTTTCAATACTGGAATAAATAATTGATTTTCCATTGGTGGGTGAAAGAATCCTGTAGATCACCACAAATCCCCAACTGGTCTCTAGTCTCTCTGGATGAATCAAACGTAATCTGACCACTAGAGATGTGTTCTCGTCTTCTGAGAAAATAAGGATTTCACAATCGCTTTCCTTTTCACTCATTGGTCCAAATATTCATAGAGTAAACTGATCCATTTTGGATCAAAGCTAACAAACAGTCTTGAGACCAAACTGAGCAGCTGCTCTTAGCTTATAAAAACGCATTTTATTGACAAAGAAAACAAAATGAGCACATGTATGTGTAAAAGCACCACTTCTGAAATCAACATATCTGCTACAAAAATTTGTTTTTCAACCTCAAAGTCACTCCCTAACATCCCTAGCAGCATTTTTTCCTTCAGAGAGGAAACTTGTCATCAGGAAATAGAAAACGAATTACAATCGATGCATCTCCACAGAGCAGAAGGTCACAAAAGTTCTGGCATCCTTATTGTTTTATCATTCACAGATAGATGTTGAACTTGTTACCATGACAATGGCAAAAGTAAGAAAATATGTGCCCAGAATCTGTTACCATGACAACGGATCACTAGTTTACACCAGCTCAGATGTCTGATGGCACAAATACGCAAAACGTTTTCCTATAAAAGCAGTGAAACGGTGATGAGCAGAGAAGTGACGCAACTTTTCAGACAAGCATGCCATAAATCTTCATCAGCACAACAGCAATATCGCCGCTGAACGTAGTGATGATGTTATTAGTCATGTTATTCCCATGTCTTTTGACGTCTCCAACTCTCTCTGTGACCATATTGGAAGCTGTCATCTGGGAGAATTTGACTTCATCCATCAGGCCGCGTAGCTTATTGGCATGCAAAGTTCAACTTTCGCACTCTGATTCCAACAGTCGGCTACAACAGTTCAATTAATTTTATATCTAGTGATACTGTCATGAGAAGCTATTTGGAAACATGCGGGCCGAGTCAGTATCCCACAAAAATCCTACAAACCAAATATTAGATTTTAGAGGGTAAACAGGATGTGAATGTAATGACAGAGGAAACGTTTAATGTGGGCGGCAGAAGGCAAATTGTTGAGAAGCTGCTATAAAAGTTCAGAGATTAAACATAAACAGCTCTGAGAAAACATGGGGAGAAGAGTATTAGTGGACATGTCAGGAAACAAAACATGTTTAGAGAGACAGCAAACATCACCAAGAGATTTAAACAAAATAAAAGGTCATTCATATAATTCCCCCTCGGCAAGCTGCCTAAACCATGTAACGCTTGACCTTTTAACACGCATCACAAAATATTGACACGCTGAGCGAACAGCACCAAGAATATTCACATACACTGTTATTAGGGAGAATCTTTGTGTAATTGTGGAGTGTAAAAGTCATAGAATGGGTACTTGGTAAAATGTCACCAGCTGTGGAGAAAATGCATTGGCAAAAAATAAAAATCTCCAGTGGGTGGTCGGCTGTGATAAGAGGGAATGATTTCTTAAAAGAACAAAAAGGCATTTTCAGAACCTAGCTTTTCATCTTTCTGTGGCTGTTCTGCACATAATAGAAAAACACACACTTCATCCAATCATATGCCGGTCTTTAGGAAAAAAAAGGCAACACAAAGGTCCAACAAAGGATATTTTACAGTGGGGACTTTATATCAACAAATCATCGCTTAGAACTAAAGTAAATCGAAAAAAATAAAATAAAACTGACTGAAAAACATCTGATGTTATACACACATGAGAAAAAGGACACTCTTACAATTTTGGAAGATTTTTATTAAGGGGCTTAAGTGATGAGGTTTCCAAGGTGGAGATTCTAAATATTCAGAATTTCAAAAGTAAGATGTTAAAGTCTCGACCTCTACTCCAGAACAGAATGTCTGATCCAAATGCAAGACAGAGATTCCCCTCCTGCAAGTGTTGCTTGGATTTTCATGTATGAGAACTTTCCTCCCCACATAGCAACAGTCCCATGTGACTGAAGTTCACAGCAAAAGCAAGTAAATTGATCTGAAGAGCCAAATGCTCCAAAATGTGGCCATAGCGCTACAAAATACTTCTAAAAACCAATCAGAATTGGCGTCTTGCAATGTGTCAGGCTTTCAGCTCATCTTGAAAACGGTCAAACCCAGCTGTCTGCACTCACTTTAGTGTCGGGATGATGCTCTGCTGAGACTTCATCAGCCTGAGCCGATACCACAGGCACCGGCCATGTACCCTCCTCAGGCTCTTCAAACGCAGTTGTTCTGAAAGGAAGATGGAGAGGGACCAGTTAGGGACACATCAGCACTATCTGAATGATAACACTCTCTGACTTACATCAGTTAGATAACAAAAAGAGGTGAAATGTTAAACAGAGGAGTAGGTTCCTTTTAGGTTAGATTTAGTTTAACAGAATGAATCATTTTAGGCATCAATATACAAGGACTGCAACAACAACAACAAACTGGTGAACTTTGTCTGATTCGGATACATCAGAACATATCTGTTGTTTACAAACAGATAGCAGGAGAAAGATAAGAATACTCTATAATAAGACTTTTAAAAAGACAAACTTGAGATGCTGAGAAATCAACACTACTACTAAATTGCAACTTTACATTAAATAAGGAATTGGCTTCATGATTACATCCAAACACGGGCTATAAAGTCAGGCTGTTTGGATGCCAAAACAGACAGACAAAAAGACATGTGCATCATATTTCTGACGTTTGTTAGCTTCAGTTTGCACAATGGTATATTTCCAGGCTGTGAAAATAAGAAAATCTCTCTCTTTTTTTTTTTTTTTTTTTTACAACTTGCTAAGTTTCCATAGCATCTAGTATTCGTCCAGGAAGGGTTAATGAGCGATATAAGACAACAGAGAGCCAACTACCGGGCCTTACCAGCGTTCTGATCCCGGGGCCACAGGTAATATGTGGCCGGGATCACAATAAGTCCGACGAAGGACGTGAGAAAATAGAAAAACGTATTGCCGCTGTCATCGTACTGGAACTGTTGTCCGGCCATTTCAAAGCGGCGCTGGGCTCGCCCTTGTTCCCCACCGTTGCGTGTTTCTCCCTCTCAGAGCCCCAAAATGTAACAGAGTTTCGATTGACTAGCTTGCTAGCATCCAGCCGACTGAGCTCGATGCCTCGGTGTACGTGGTGTACGCCTGCGCAATGAGGCGTCTCTTCTTCTTCTCTCATTAAGGGCAGGACTCACACAACGACAGCGCATTGGTTCCCCCAACAGTTCCGTGTTTAAATGTTCCCTGTTTAGTTAAATACGTGTAAAAAAGAAAAATACACATTTTTTCCTGTCCTATATTTTAGTTAAATGTGTGTAAAAATATATATAATTGTGTTACTTAAGTCTGGTTTAAGTACAAATAGTAAAGCAAAATTTTATGTTTGAAATAGATTTTAAATAGGCAACAACAGTTAGTAAATCATGACAAGTAAAAAGTTACTGTTTATGGATTGTGATCATGTCTTAAATTTACACTACAGAAAAAGGTTTCCTTCACTTTTCAAATCTAAAAATATCCTTTAGAGTTAGAATTGGTGAATTGTTGCTTCACATTCACACTGTAAAAGGCAATATTTCATTCAATGAAATATTGAATGAATAGCAAAATTTTGAATTTTGTTATCCAAATTCAACTCTATTCAATTGCTAATAGACATACAGTTTTAATTTCTTGGTTTTAATTTTTTTCGACCAGCTGGGGCCTATTTGGACTTAGTTTTGATGTTCTTCAAGTGCATTTTTAGGTTCTTTCTTGGGTTCTCATCTCCTAATCCAAAAGCATGTTTGTAAGTTTCATGAGCCTCATTAAATGTCCGTTGAGTGTGTGTATTTGTATTGCTACTTTTATCACAGAAAAGAGTAGACCAAATATATTTCTGGCAATATATTTTTATATAGTATGGACATGCATAATAGGCACAAATCTTTTTCATATATAATTCATATCCAATGTTTTTCAGTGCAACCTAAATCTGGACTGTCATGTTACATTTCATCCAACTTAGCAACACTGAAATGTGACAAGAGAAAATGTTAAACAAGGTGCAAAAGAAGCGTACACCTTCTGAAAACAATGTGTTGCACGTAACATCGTATTATCTTTTGTGCAGGCATTTCACGTCAGGAGTGTAGAAGGCACATAAAGTCTGATAGTGGTCACATCTAAATTATGTCAGTTATATCACAACAAGGTAGAGCTCAGCAACGAATCAGAATTGAGTATTAACATGTTGAGTGTGTTCCCCACTTCTCACCTTTTAATTGATGCAGATAGGCACTCCCTGCAGAGTAGGTACAGAAAATGGATGGAAAATATTTTTTTATTTCAACCCAAATATTGCACGTTTAGTGAGCCAATATCAATTTATCTTTTCAACCCATTCTTTAGTAGCCTTTGGCAGCAGTATTAAACATCTATTTAACTTTACCACAGTATTGCCTTCACATGTATTTTCAAATGAGCAAGCAATAATGGTTTAGAAAACAGAACCACTGGCCGATGTTTTAAGAATCACAAGGTTAAGTGTTACACCTACTGATCAAGGACAAATTTAATGAGCAAAAATTGGGAATACAACAAAAATATCAACATTCACACTTTTTTACTAATTGCTTTATTAAAAAAAGAAAATAGAAGAGCAATAACATATAGTTTCCTACATAGATGACTGAGAGCATTCTTGAGTGGAGAACATACATCAACATTAGTACACTTTTTTTTTTTGCTATTTAAAGTACTGCTGATACAAAAAAATACCAACTAAAACCTTTTTTTTCTTTGCAGCAATAAGTAGTTTTAGAATTTTAAAAGTATTTGTTCTTCAAAAGACATTTGAACACTTTTCCACATTTTATATTTTCTGATTTGTTCAGATGGCCACCATGATCTCCTCCAGATTCTTCCGTTTCAAATCTGGCACAGTGGCGTCAGCTGCAGGATAACCCACAGGAAGCAGCATCAGCAGCTTCTCGTTGACCGGCCGCTTGAGGAGGAGCCTGAGCTGAGGGCCACAGTTTAGGGGCGTTGATGTGACGGTTACTAGGCCCACATTCTGACAAACAAAAAATCAGATTCTTTGTTTGAGATTATACTGTGTTTTTGGAAAAATGTTCAGAGAACATAATTGTGCATTGGGACAATTATTTAAAACAATAATTTTCATTTCATTTTGTGTCATTTGTATTTCAGAGAATATTTTGTATTTCTAACCTGCAAAGCAGCCAGGAGGATTCCACAAGAAATAGAGACACTGATTTCATTGTAATAGTGGGTCCTTTTCTTGCCATTTGGTAGAATCCCATAAGTCTGTTTAAAAATGAGAATCAGGTATGGAGCAACATCCAAATATTCTTTAATCCAGTTTGTCCTGTATTGCAGAAACAAGAGTGATTTATTAGGCATATTCTGTCCTTTTAATCATAATCATAATGGTAAAAAAGATGTGAAGTAAATATGTTCACCTTAGCCTGGCCAAATCATGGACCCACTTATCTCCCATCCTCTGGCGGTAGTTCACCTCCTCTTCTTCTTCCACAATAAGTCTGATCTTGTGCTTTGTGTCCATCTCTGACACTACAACAAACGTCCAGGGCTCTGTGTGAGCACCACTTGGTGCTGTCCCTAAAAAGAGATAGAACAAGCTGATGAGCACATTTAAAAATAAACTGATGGGATTTAAAAATCCCAGTTATGATGGCCTTTGTTGATCTTCAAATGCAGCAAAAAGCCAAACTGATAAGTTCCGTGCCTGCAGTGAGGATGACCTTATCGATGACTTCTCGTGGGACTGGCTCGGGGCTGATGAATCTGACAGATCTCCTCTGGTTCATCAAGGAGTAAAAGTCTTTGGACCTCTGCAGCATGGTCTCCTCTGGGTAGCGCTGTGGTGAATAGGGAACATGTGCAAGGGCTTCCTCTTCGTTGTTCTCCACCCATTCATCGTCATCTAAAATGATCTCAAAGAAATGAAACGTGCCTATGACATTTTTGTTAATCGGGGAATGTAAATAAAAAAGGAGACAGAGCCAACATATAGTCTGCCGTAACAAGGCACAGAGCTCTGACATCCTTGAGATGTATAAACTTTAATTATCTGGTATTAATAGTTCCAATTGATACCAGTTATCTTATACTCAATACGTTATTCAAAGTAGTTAAAAAGTTTATGTCTGAGAAAATCGAATAGATTCCATTGATGCATGGGTACTTTTCAACCTCGGTGATGTAATGTGGAGTACATTTATGCATAACGTATGAAGGTTTTAAACACAAGAAACTTCCCCATGCTTGTTTTGCTCATTATTTATTTTTTGGTTTGTTAATATGACTGTTAGTGTTGTATGTCCGTTTTTAATCATTGCTCGTTGTTATTTTTTTTATTTTAATTTATGTAAAGCCTTTTGCATCCGATGCAAGTGCAAAACATAAAAATCCTATTTTTCTCTGACTAGTAAAAAGAAACTGGAATTTACCTCCTCTTGCTATTTCTGTGTCATCCTGCAAGTCCTGGTCCACCCAGGGTCTGACCTCCTTTTTCGTAGGCTCTTTGGTTTGCTCTGCTACTCTCGGACTGGTCTCTGGTGCCCGAGATTTCAGAAACAAAAAGCCGGCCACCATGCACAGGATCAGAGCGAGGACGGGTGTGAGTTCAGACAGGAGAGCCATGACTGACTGAGCTCCTGCTAGTGGGAGCGGAACTACTGTACCGTTGCTGAGTGCAAACCTTGTGTTATAAAACACTGCTCTGTTATCTGAAGTGGGCCTTTATGCTGAGTCAGAACATGGGGAAAGGCGTATGAGCTTGGCACCCTGTTGATAAAAAACAATTCCAAGGATCACCAGGTCACACAAAAAACACACACACACACAAAAAAAAAACCTAAAAGTCTGCAAGTTTAAGTTTCAAAGTCCTGTACCGAGGTTAATATTCCACTTTCTTCTCCCTGTGCTACAAACTGAATAGTAAATCCAAATTGAAACACTTAACAAAAACCTTTAATAAAATATTGATTTTCATGGAGCAAATGAAATGAAAGTGTTTGGGATATAAGCAATTTTTTTGTTATGGTTTATCAGTTCTGAAACAAACAGATTTGGAAATCTCAGAAGCTTCTATAAAGAGGTGTGTTCAAATTCAAATGCAACTGCCTTTGAATCTGTCTGTGTGATTAAATTGAATTGAATCTTTTGCTTTGTTTTTCTTTTTTGTGATATTTAGAGCCAAATTAAAAACAAAAGATTTAGAAATGTGGTTGATGGTAGAAATACCTACATTATGTATTTTAAGGACATTTTTAATTTAAATCCATCTGTGAAAATTCCAATGAGGGTCAATCACCTTTACTTGTTGACCAAATTTATACCATTCCCGAATGTTAACTACATTTTTTTTATGTTCAGTTCCAAAAACAAGGAGTGTACCTATTTGAGCCAACAACATGAGATTTGATTTAATTACGGAAAACTTATTGAGAGTTTTCTCAGTGACGAAAAGTAACAAAACCTGATCTCTACCATGGTGTTATTGATGAATTCGGACAATAGGTGGCGCAAAAATTATTTGGCCAAGTTCTTTTTCTCTCTCTCTCTCTCTCTCTCTCTCTCTCTAAATGAAAAGAATGTAAATAGGGATACTGAGATTTTGTTTGTTTGTAGCTACAAACAAGAATACTTGAACAATTATTTTTGGCACTAATAATCTCTGGGGCGGCGAGATCTGAAACAGAATGTCCTGAATTTCATTATGCTGTCCAGTTTTTATGAGCTGCAAGTTAAAAACTTGTAATATAGATCACTCTGCGTGACCGATCTGAGTTTCAGATTTTGAACTAAATTGTTGGAATAGACGTCTCGGTGTTCATTAATATCTGCGCCTGTAAGTAAAATGATTGTCCGAATTGGGAAGCGGATTTTTCTCCTTCCCGCCTCTTGATGGCGCAACTGTCTTTAACACATGGTGCGCTAATGAAAACCATTGAGGGAAATCGAAAGATTCACTGCAAAAAATGATTTACGGCTGTTAACCGGACTTATTTTTGAATATGTACATTTTTAAACACCTTCACCTGCTAATGCGGCGTTCCTGTAGTAAACTCCTTTGTGTTTCTGTTCCATTGTCATCTCCATATTCCACAATTTCTTTTATTATTATTATTATTATTATTATTATTAATTGGAGTCTTTATTTTTATTTTTTTATTTCACCTCAAACCTCGACGTCTGCCATCCAGCATTTCTTGCAGCGCTCGCTCCGCCCTCTCGGCTTTCTACGGCGCTGCGCTTTAAATAGCAACTGTTTAAAAGCTGCTGCACATTCCCCTGTCTGCCGTGCAGCTCCGCAGTCTTTCTCTCCCCCCTCCCCTCCTGTCCACTCCATTAACACATTTAACAAAGCAACAAACCCTCTCATCCCGCTATGTCGGCCGCCAGCACCGAACCCAGTGCCCCTCTGCCCACCGCAGGCAGCCGCGTCTTCTTCCAAGGTGCGCCCGGTGTGGGCTGCGTGAGCTCCGGCCCCATCAACGGCGAGGACCCTGTCCAGAAGAAGCAGGGGAAAGTGACGGTCAAGTACGACAGGAAGGAGCTGCGGAAGAGACTCGTGCTGGAAGAATGGATCATCGAGGAGCTCAGCAAGTTGTATGACTGTGAGGTGAGTAAAGGACGGGTTACCCTCTGTCAGCGGGGGGCCCTTCAAATGCACAAGAAGATAGACGACCGGGAAAAAATAGTGCAGATTACTTTATGCGTGTTTCTGTGTCGTTTTTTTTTTTTTTTTTTTAATTGTAGTGTCAGTAAATCAGAGCTGCATCTGTTTTCCATGTGTAAAACAGACGTTTTACACATGAAAACTCAAAATCATAACAATATCACACATCAACATTTCACATCCAGGAGCTTGACTTTCTCATTTTCCTTTGCGCCAAGATGCTGAGGCTTTCAGACATCTATGTGTGCCGAGCTTTATTTGTTATCTCTGTCTCTGTCGTTGAGCAAGGGATGCCTGGGCCGGGGAGGAAAAGCAGCAGCAGCAGAGAAACCGCATGGTTGTCCTTTTACGCACCGGTCGCTTCCCCACCTCCAAGGAAGCTTGCAGTTGCGAAAAGGGAATTCTGTGTGCATCCATTTACATAGACCGTATAATTTCTCGTAAATGACACTAATGACAGTCCTTTCATCAATATCCTTTAAGCAAACCCCCAGCTGCTCGGTTTATTGTAGGTTTATGAGATGGCGCGTGCGTCCCAGTTCAGTCGTTTGACGTTTATGTGGCGACGGTTTTTGCCCTTTTAACCTATACTCACTCTTCTGCGGTGCATCTGTCCCTGCGCCTTATATTAGCCACCCCAATTACTGTGCGTGCGCACGTCTGCACGTCGCATTCTTTAACACTTTAAAAAGGGGGAAGGGAGGCCTTGTGTGCGCATGTGGAGAAAGAAAGAGAGAGAGTGTGTCAGAGGTCCGGATAGCAGCAAATCCCCCTCCAATAAACTCTCTGTTTCCCACATATACTATGCTGCCATGCAGAGCCATGTGGGGGTGTTGAGAAGATGGAAAGAAGGGCACTGGGTTAAAAGATGTGCTGATGCTGTGACTCTCCTCCCCAGCCAATCACCTCTTCTGGCTCGCAACCCTCTCCCTAATGCCAAGGGTCTGCACAAACACACATGTTCACACACAATACATCTGTCACTTCCAGTCAGGCATATATTTATGTATGTGCGTGGCTCACTCCATCTATCAATGGTATAATCCACACAGAGATTACGCCACTGAGAGATTCTAAAATGACCAGGGTGGAGTGGGGTACACACACCTTGAATTATTGGGATTTTATGAGACAGGAGAACATTAATAAGAGCTTAACTGTGTATCGAAAAGAAAATGTGGCTGATACTGTGAAATGCCACCCATTGCCTTCAGAAATCACCTGTTTACTCAGTGAAGGTTTTCTTCCAAAGCTTCACAGGTTTTAAAAAAACTCGAACCAATAAAAAGCATCACTGAAGCCGAAGAGCACCAAAGCCATTTAAGGGATTAATCGTTAGCCATGATAATGTAGAGAAGAATGCTGAAGTCTGAAAACAACATTCCCACACTGACGGATGGTGTGAGGATGCTTTTCTTCTTCAGGCACGTGAAGCTGGCAATGTTTGATTGGAAGATGGATGTTGCTGAAAACATGGAGATCCTGAAAGAGAAGCTGTTAAAGGCTACAAAACAGATGAGACTCCAGTTCACCTCCCAGCAGAACAATGACTCAACACAATCCAAAGCTACTGGAATGAGTCAAATCAAAGCATATTCATGTCAGAATGGTTTACAGGTAGAGGCATGCCCCAAAGGACTGAATAGCAACGCACGCAATACTTTTTACATTTTTGTTTGAAAAAGACAACAACAACAAAAACAAAGAAAATCAAATATATTTTTTCTTTCACTTGGCCATTGTGCTGGGTTTTATTTTGGTCTATCACGTATACTCCCAATACAATCCTTTAAAGATTGCGGCTTTATCAAAACAAAGCGTGCCAAAATATCAAGTGATTTGTGCATTGTGTACCGAAACTAAGCTCAGGCAAAAAAAAAAAAAAATCACAGTCCGACACTAACTGCCAGAACAGGTTTTTATACCTTCCCTTCTGCAATAAGAGAGAGCGTTGCAATGCAAATATTTTCCACACATGAGGTTAATAAACTCTACACGTGTGTGACGCTCCAAACTTCTCCCTCCCTCATGCTGAAAATGCCATGAGTGTTGCATTTACAGGACCTCTAACACAGACCGATGCCTTTTCATGTCTGTCAGTGGGTTTGTGAGCTTCTCCCTCTCTTTATAGCCCTGCTTATTTCTCTGTTGTGGTTCTTATTTGAGCTAAAATAAGCTGAAGCCTTGTTTCCAACTGTAATGGCTGAACATTTCAAAGCTGACTGAGTTCTTGGCTGCATGTCAGACTTCCACCAGCAGGATTTAGTCAATGCAAATTGAATGTTAGATTAATTATGAGCTAATATATTTTCATATTTTTTCTCTTGCATGGTATCCTGTCCATTTGACCTCTTTCCATATAGTGTGTACATCCATACACCAGCAGGGCATCTTTTCATATCTATTCACTTAGCCAATATAATATCCCATGATGATCCCCCTACGGCTCTCCAATAACCAGAGCGTTATTAGCCTGAGCTGAACTGGGATTTGGAAGGATTTCAATAAAAGCCGATAGTGAAAGCAGTCCCTGATGATGTCGACAAGTTGTACTTTCAGCACATTGTTAAAGATGTCTATCATTTCCTCGAGTGTTTGAGCAGGAGGTTGTTACTATATACTAGTGATCTTTATGGACATGACTGTAAGCAGGACGTCACATTCCAACCACTGTTGTAAATACCTTCATGCTGAAACCCAAATTGGTTTCGGTAGTGTTCTTTAAGCATGTGTGTGTTAGATACATGTAGAGGTGACTATGCTGTTCTTGCTGAAAGGTCATCCACTGTATTAGTTTCATAAGAAAACCTGATAGTACATTGGGGACTGTGATATAGGGGCTTGAGTTTGTCAGTGAAGTCCGGTTGTTTGTTGAGGCAGAAATGTGATAAAATGAACTAAACAGATTCCATTAGTAATGCAATTTGCTGTTCAGTGTTTGTCTTTGCATTGCAGTTCTTTTCTGAACAAACAGTCTTTTTCTCACATATATATTTTCTGTCAGCCACTGTGTGTTATGCTAACTGAACAAAAGAAGACAAAAGTCCTTGTTAGTTTGTAACTACTGACCCACCACCACACTCCTTCTCTTCTTTAACAGATTAAGTGGACTCTAATTGAGTGCCTGCTAATGCTGAGATCCAGTTTAGGTGATTAAAAGGCAAAATGTGTCAACGGACTGATGGATCTGTCTGTCTGAGAGCAATCAATGAAGATAATGCGAGACATAAACTCTTACTGGACAGCAGTAAATCATTATACACTTGCATTCTGCATGCTTTGTCATGTTTATGCCTTTCAGATACAAATGAGTGGAAGAAATGCCCTACTTTTCAGTGGCTCTGCCAGCTCAGGGTCTGTTGGTATACAAGGCTTCTGCCCTGAGGCTTTTACTGTCTGTGGGTTTGTATGAGGCCATGTGGCCTTTTTTTTAGGTTGAAGAGACTGGGCTACTCTTTAACAGTTGCTCAGTGGTGACTTTTCATACACTGATGAGCATGACAGTGATCTGACTGGTCAGTGTACATGTTCAGACCAAATGGAGCAAAAACAATCTCCTGATTTGAAGCACCTTCTTGTGGTTGATACCGTTGCTTCTGACTGCTGTTCCTGTTGTCCATGGATTATATAAGGTATGCAAGTTTGAAACTGAATTTTGTGTAAAAAATGCCTTCAGGTGATTTTTGTGTTTATGAATATGTGTACGGAAAAGAGAAATGTGCATTTTGTTGCTGATTTCTAACCTCCAAGTATCACTTTCAAGATGAAATGTCTTTCATCTTTCTGTCTCTCACTGCTTACCATCTGACGAGTCGAGACGGGAAGATTTTTCCTCCCCTGTGCATGTCGTGTGTTTTTTGCCGAGGAACAAGAGCAACCACGTGAGCCTCACATAGAACCAGAAGAGTAGAATTCAAGCCCAAGTCATTACACCGGTTCAATAGCACGCCTGGGAAAATATACATCGGCACTCATTGACAGGAGTATTACTTTACATACTGAGTTACCTAATGCATCATGCTATGAGCACACACAACAAACAAGCAAGTTTAGTGCCTTGCAAGCATTCTTACTAATAAAGAGTTTTCTCACTTTGTGACATTGCAACCTCAAAGAAGAAAAGATGTAATTATAAAACAGCATCTCAAGCTTTGAACCTTAATTCATCCAAAATCAACCATGGCTGCGATGTTCTATTCAATCAGAAAAGCAGCCCATAGACCCCTGAGAACTCTGGAGGGCCCACAGAGAACCATGATTCAGGTGGATTATCTCTTGACACTCAACAAATCTGGCCTTTGTTAGAGAGTGGCAAGAAGAAAGCCATTGCTGAAAAAAGGCCTGAAGAGGTCCTATGAGCCTCTTCAGGCCAGTTTAAGGAGCAATGTAGGGGAGACAATAAACATGTTGAAAGATATGCTGTGACTAAGAGAGACCAAAGCTGAGTTACTTGGTCTACAAGTCGTATGTGGTGGGAAGCTAAATCAATCATATTAATTGAGAGTTTTGGGAAAACTTGAAAATTGCTGTTTGCTTATGTTTTGTATCTGCCTTAGCTTGCTTAGCTTGGCAAAGAAAAACATAAGAAGGCCTTAGTCTGTACTGCAGATGTGTCTTGATGGAAGAAAATGCAACCTTCCACTTCACAATTATGTGCTACTTTGTGTTGGTTTTTCACTAAAAATAAAATCCAGAAGTATCTGGACAAAATGTGGAAAAGGTTCCATGGGTAAGGGCTTCTGCAAGTCACTGTAAACTCCACATACATCTCCGGTTATCAGAATTGGAGCTATTAATCAAATGATTACTGCTGCACTGACTGATCGACGGACTGAGAAATGAAGAAAGGTCAGTCTTCTGTTTACAATATCCATGCTTGGAAAGTTAGATATGATGGATCAAAATAGAAACTCGCCGAGTGTCTGTCTCTGAGCACACGTCCA